TGATTGTGATTAAAATCACTATAAAAAAAAAACGCTTCGATGCAAATCTTTAGATAGTGTTTAATTTTAAAAAATTGGTGAATTATTCCAAAAGCTTCATAAACTGCTAGTTCCTTATTAATATCCTGATTAAGATAAAGTATGTCGAATGAAAAAGGGATTATTAAAAATAGTATTTCCCATAAAAAAATTATATTGATCAATACACTTTTCAATAAGTTATAGCATTATAAAGTTAAAAATGTAAAAAATAAAATCGAGAATTTTCACACAATAATAGCATTTGGTAGCTATTTTCACCGTGAAGACAAAATAAAGTCCGAAATTTTTTTTTTTACATAATAAAGTAGATAACATTAGCTTTAATTTAATATATATAGAAAAGTGTCAGACTTTCCGGAACACTTTCAAAATTTAAGTTGAAAAAGTAAATTTTTTGTGAAAAAGTTGTCATTTTGAATCCCCCCTTGTAGGCAGGTAAAAAGTGCCATAACTTTTTCAAAAANACATTTTTGTGAAAAAATGGTCATTTTGAATCTCCCCCTGTAGGTCGGTAAAAAGTCAGATTTATAAAAAAAATATACCAAATGATAGGTAAAGACATCATGCATCTACAAAAAAAAGAATTATATTGATCCATACATCTTTCGAGAAGTTATAGCATTATAAAGTTAAAAATATAAAAAAGAATTTTTTTACAAAAATCGTATTTTTTTTATTAAGTTTAATGTCTGTTTTCACCATGAAGATAAAATAAAGTCCGAAATTTTTTTTTACCATTATAAAGTATATTACATTAGCTTTAATTTAAGATATATATAAAAGTGTCAGACCTTCCGGAACACTTTCAAAAGTTACGTTGAAAAAGTTCTACTTTCTATATGCATTTTTATGTTTTGAATCCCCCCTGTATTAAGGGAAATGGTCTGATTTAAAAAAACAGTATGTCAAATGAAAGATGTATATAAATACTACTCCTCATGAAAAAATTGTATTGATTTATACACTTTTCATTAAGTTATAGCATTATAAAGTTAAATATGTAAAATACAAAATCGAAAATGTTCACACAAAAATAGCATTTGGTAGCCATTTTCACCATGAAGATAAGATAAAGTCCGAAATTTTTTTTTTTCATGATAAAGCATATTACATTAGCTTTAATTTAAGATATATATAAAAGTGTCAGACCTTCCGGAACATTTTCAAAATTTAAGTTAAAAAAATTAATTTTTTGTGAAAAAGTTGTCATTTTAAATCCCCCCTTGTGGGCAGGTTAAGGGTTAAATTTATGAAAAAAATATACCAAATGAAAGGTAATGGTATTATGCATCTATATAAAAAAGAATTATATTGATATGTTTATTTTTGAAAAAGTTATGGCACTTTTAAGTAAAAAAAATTGAAAAAATTTCGAAAATTAGCGATTTTTAAATTTGTAATTTTTTTGGAGGTTTCCCCCATTTACGGGGAACGAGGGAATTTTTTTCAATTTTTAAGGGTAATGTCTTCGACTAGATACGATTTGTGATCTTTTGACGTATCATTGAAAGAAATCGGTTCGATGAGAGCTGAGAAAAAGTGGTAACAGACACAAAAAAAAAAAAAAAAAAAAAAAAAAAAAAAAAAAAAAAAAAAACACATCTTAGTAAAACCAATACCTTCTCAGCTTCGCATCGAAGCTAAAAACTCAATTAATAGTCTATAAAATTAAAGTTAAAATTTTTTAATAAAATATAGTTTTATTTTTAATTATTGAGATATAAGATACTCTTTGGACGATTTTATTCTTTTTAGTTTTAATTGTTTAATAAATTTTAAAACAATGTAATTATTGTCTATTAATAATATATTTTTCTACAATATTTTTTTAGATAAAGGCCCATCGTCAACTTATCTTTGTTCTGAAGATGAGGCAATAGGTTTGACAATGAAATGTACACTACATACATCAAACTTGAAACAGACTGTATCTACACCTAATTTAGAAGATGGATTTGAAAGTTTGAACCCTATTGCTTATGAAATGCAAATTGACTCTCATCCACCAAGTTCAAAACATGCAAAATCAAGTACAATGACACCTAGATTATCAGCTACTCTAAATAAGTGCAAGATCAGAAATCGTGATGTTGTACATTTATTGACGGCAGCCGCAAAAAATTGTAGGTAGATTTTTCCCATTTTTCAATTAATAGATCAATAATTAAAAGGGATCAAGAACAACTGTCAATGAGTTTAATGTCTAAATTTTCAGACCTAAAATTAAATTTAGTTGTTCTTCACTGATATTTAAAATTATTTTCTAACTTAACAAATATCGAAACAGTTGATCGTCTACCAATTATATATAATTACCAGCTCCTAATGTTGAAAAACTATTAAGTTCCTAGCCTCCGGTATGGTACTGGAAAAGAAATTTCTTCTATTGTCTATACTACATTACAATAATGGTGTTTAGTTGACAAAGTTCAGGTTTTTGTATTTGATACCACGTCGTCAAATACTGGTCGATTAAACGGATCTTCTGTTCTTTTGGAACAACTATTGAACCGAGATATTTTTTTTTTACATGCCACCATCATATATTTGAAATTATATTACAAGCGGTTTTTGTAAATTCAAAACTTACTGTGATTTCTGGCCCTGATATTTCTCTGTTTAAAAGATTTAAATGTAACTGGAAAATTTTTAATTTAAGAAAATATAGAATATATTCGAAATTTGGTTATTGTCATTAAATTTAAAAGACTTTTTTAATGAAATTATATTGAAAAATATGATTGCAGTTTACCGAGGGATGACTACAAAGAGTTCCTAGAAATAGCACTAATTTTCTTAGGAGGAACACCGCCAAATGAAATCAAATTTGGTAAACCAGGGGCTTATCATCTAGACCGATGGATGGCTAAAACTATTTATTGTATAAAAATGTTATTGTTTTTTGATCAATTTGAAATGACATTCAAAGAAAAAAAATCACTAGAAGAAATAATCATGGAAAGTGTGTGAACGTTTTTAAATCTCTTTTGATTTTTTGTGGAATAATCCAAGTGAATGGTAAAATATTCCTGTATAATAAAGCAAAAGAACTTTTATTTTCACTAAAAATAGTAAATGATGTCGCCGAAAGAGGTGTTAAATTGATAGAAGAGTATAATGACAAGTTTACTAGAAATAAAGACCAAAAACAATACTTAGTAAAGATAATATATAACCTTATGTTATATAAATGGCTAAACTGTACATATTTCTATTTTCAATTTTACAGTATCATTACTATTTAAATATAAACTGTATAATTTTCAATTTTTATGTCGTTCATAACTGCCGTCAACAATACCCAGAGTTTAACCACGAAGCTACGAAAAACCCTATTTTATAAATCAATAAGTTTATTATTATTATTATTATTATTATATTTTAGCTTAGATGCGAAGTTGAGACGGTATTGGTTTTACTATGTGTTTTTTTTTTTTGTGACTGTTATTCAACCGATTTCTTTCAACGATATGTCAAAAGATCACAAATCTTATCTAGTCGAAGACATTACCCATAAAAATTGAAAAAATTTCCCTCGTTCTCCATAAATAGGGGAAATCTCCAAAAAAATTACAAATTTATAAAAACGCTAATTTTCGAAATTTTTTTACTTAAACCTGCCATTACTTTTTCAAAAATGAACAAATCAATATAATTTTTTTTTGTAGATGCTTGATGTCTTTACCTATCATTTGGTATATTTTTTTTATAGATTTAACCCTTTACCTGCCCACAGGGGGGATTTTAAATAACAGCTTTTTCACAAAAAATTTACTTTTTCAACTTAACTTTTGAAATTATTTTGGAGAAATAATATTTTTTAATAATCCTTTTTTCATTCGACATACTTTACTTTAATCAGGATATTAATAAGGAAATAGCCGATAATGTAGCTTTTGGAATTTTTTTAAATTAAACACTATCTAAAGATTTGCATCGAAGCGTTTTTTTTTATAGTGATTTTAATCACTGTCATATATCATTATACTTAATCTAACTATGCCTCATCACCCCCCTGTGCTGGTTTTTTTTTAATACTGCAATTAAGTTCTTAAAAATTTGAATATTTTAAAAATAAATGAATTTGAGTGTTTATGATTTTTTATTTAATTTTTAGCTTTAGGAGAAGATACATCTTTAGGTAATACAATTTTAATATGCTCTTACTCAACACACAAATCTATTCCGTTAATATCATTTAGATCTTCATTTTTAAAGGTATTATATAAATCTATTCAATGTTTTAGTAAAGTATCATGTTCAGGTAAATCAGAAATATTATATAAGTAATATATACAGAGTGTTTAGTAAATAAGAAAACAGTCAATTGTTACGAACAATAGAAACCCATTTCCTTACTTACTGAACACTATATAATACCATACTTATTAAGTAACCGTATTGAAATTATATTTGTATCCATCAGACGATAGAAAAAGTCTCTTTTAAATCGCTCTTCTGGAGTAGGTTCATATTTATCAAAGCTTTCATATTTAAATTGTCTTTTAATTAGTCTATGTGTTTTGGTTTTAAAACTGGTTTCCACATTTAGAGTTTTAACAGAAGAAACATCTCAAATATATCCAATATTTCTATAAGAAATAATATAATTTAACCTTTAACAATTGAAGTTGTTGTGATTATGTCCATAGTGATTCCTCACAAAGAATTACTGGCTATATTGATTTGAAATAGTAAATTATATTAAACAATAAATGATATAAGAAATTCAAATTCACATAGGTTGTCGGTGAAACATTGTGTTTTGTGATGAAGACCAACTTCAGTATTTGGTCAATGTAAAATGTCAATTAAGGCATAACTATGTTATTTGTTTCATAACGCATTGCTTTAATGGCACTTATGCTGTTTTCCCATCGAGTTTTACATATTTTATTAACAGTAAATTCTGATATATGCCTTATGAGAATCTCTCAATGAGTCATAGAAGTCGAAAATAATACATATACACGTTGTTTTAATCCAAATAAAAAAATTGATTCTTTAAAAGACGATACAACATTAGCAATAACTAAATTCAAAGAGTGACAACTGCATGAAATATAAAATGCTTATGGGTTTATAATTAATAATCTTGCCTGAACTCCTTGATTTTGTCCTTTCATGTTTTGATTATCATATCCCTGTCCCCTGTAGTTGATAAATTCAAAATTGTTACCTTTAAGTGTTTGTAACATGAGCTATAAAAGACCTAGAATCATTAGCGGTAATACAATCAATGAAATGTTTTCTTATATAAATAATAAATTACATTTTTCTGATTGATGTACAATCTATAATAATTAAATAATATTTTATCTCATGAAGATTAGCTGCAATAGTAATACAAAAATAATTGATAATATGATATTTAATATTTATTTCTAATGGCCACTTGGGTGGATTTTCCAAATAACTGACATCATAAACATTATTTTCATTAAGAACATATAAGCCGTCGTCAAATTAGAGTTCATCATGTTGTGTTTGAATTTCTTTTTTTTTTATGTTTACGTTAGTTTATATTTGTAGGTACCGCTATCATTAATTCAGAATCAAAAATTTCTTTAGATTTTTTAAAAAATGCTTTTGGTTTGATATCAATGGGTATGAATTTTTTCATGCTATTTTGTTCTTTTTTTTAGCAAACATTTTTTTTCTTTTTGTTTTTTATTTTGTTCTTCTAAAAGCTTTTTCTCTCATTTTAATTTAATAGTCTGTAATATTATAGGTTTCAAAAAAAATATTTGAATAAATTATGTGGTAGCTAAACTGTATTGTTCCAATAAATACTAAATATTAAAATATTATGCACATTGTAGTTGATTGAATTGAAATTTGTGTTGAAAAAATATTTTATTGAATAAGAAAATAATTTAGTACAAATTATATAATAAATTAATATAATTTAATTTTAAAATGTTTTCTTGTACTGGTTATCAATGTCTTATAACCAGTGATAATATAACACAATGTTTATGTTTTGCTATATTCAACGGCAATTATATATCAAGATACTGACATAACCAATATTTAATAAACTTGAATGTACCTTTTAAATCCTAATTGTAGAAACATAATTGGGGTAGAGAAAAACAGTGAAACATAAATGTGTAAAACATAAAACAATATTGTACAAGACTAAGTAATAACACATAACACTAGAACATATACACTGTACACGACTATATAACCAAATAAGGTATAATTATGTATTATATTAAAGAAATAATCAATAATGTTAATCGCAATGAATCTTGTTGCGTCAGTCATTATCTGATGCTATTTATTTCTTAATTCTAAATAAATAGTGATTATTAACGGCGACTGACAATAATAATCAATAGAATGGATAGAATATAAGAATAATATTCCTAAAATTTTTTTCAGTTATAACGTTAAATCATTAAGCCACCTCCCTTTTAACAAGAACCCTGGGTGTAGGATCAGGTTCACCACCCCTAATGTTAGCTTTGTTTTTATCCAACACTATTGAGCAGCATTACACTATGAATATGTGAATACCTCGATTGCCCAGCTAATTGAATAGATTGGCTTATTTTTTCATTAAGTGCATCATGTGAGGTCATTATGTGAAAAAATGCCTCTGATTTGGATCTCACTTGTTGTGCTATTTTTACTTCAACAGTATCTAAGTAATAAATTAGCTATAAATAAAAAAAAATCACAGTTAAAATTAATCATTAAATTTTATATTGGTTATACTCATAATAAAATCTACTAAATAATAATTACTTTTTCCTGAATAGACTTATGCGATAGTTTTATATTAGCCATTGGAATATTAGTCAGATAATCTAATGTAGGAAAAATATTAGGAAACACAGTAAAAAATGTTTCACAATTACTGAGATCAAAATTAGATTCTAAAAAAACTAGTGGAACTTCAGATAAATTATAGCTGACCCCATCTGTAAAAAAAATTATTTGATAATGTAAACCTATAAATAATATTATTAATGGCATACCAGTTAATTTAGATAATCGTAAATTTGGAAACTGTTGACGAATTTCAGCTGGGTATTCTTCCTTTTTTTCTTCTTTACTAAGCTCTATGTGTTTTTTATGTTTCTAAAATATAAAAATACTGTAATTTTTATTCTAGATTTTTAGATTTATAATAAATAAATATTCTGACCTTGGATATACGCTTAAGATAATCTTGAAAATTTTGAAGTTTTACTATAGGTAGATGTTGAGAAGGCGGAACTGGATTTAAATCTGTGAATTTATCTCCCCATATCTTGGTAAAAAAATCTTTCTGTTAAAATTTAAATATAATTTAAATTTGATTAATTATTAATGATATACATATTAAATTAAAATTAAATAGACAAGCAATATTAAATAGATTATTAGTTAAAAATTTTTGATGCCAATTATGAAGAGTAAAAGTATTTAATAATTTCTTATACTGTACTGCTTATTTATTTTTTAAATATTATAACAATTAAAACATACTGATCTAGGTTGTTTTGGATCATTTAATACTGTAGATAGACTTTGAGAAGCTGAATAAAAATTCCATTCATCAGATGGTTTTTTGCAATTTGATGTTTTATGATAAGGAAGGACTGAAATAATATGAAATGCATGGTCTTGAACTATATGTGTCTTATATTCTGATTCACTATAACTTCTGCTATTATGACCATTACATACTCCATTAGAACCATATTTACAATAATATGAATTATTTTTTGATACAGTTCTATGTTTATCATACAAATGTCTATAAATAATTTAAAAGATAGATTTTAATCCACTTTAAAATATACATATTCAATAATATTATAGGCCAAAATATTATATACAATAAACCCTACTAAATAAAATAACATGTCATGATATCTATTTCTAATTGTTAATGTGAGTGTGAGTTTATTTATTAAATTAAATACTGATATTAGTTTTTTAAATAATTTTAAGATTTATAAAATGTTAATAAATAGTTAAATAATTAGTTAAAAACTAGACTTATTACATTCATATTTATACTGAACTAAAATATATCAATAGATTTTAGTTTGATACGAAGCTGAGAATTTTACCATAATGCAGTTATTTTTTTTTATTTTTTTTTTGTGTTTTATATTCACTACTTTTTCTCAGCTCTCACTGGACCGATTTTGATGAACAATATGTCAAAAGATCAAAAATCGTATCTAGTTGAAGAAATTACCCTTAAAAATTGAAAAAAATCCCTCATTCCCCGTAAATGGGGGTAATTTCCAAAAAAATTAAAAATCGTTAAATTTCATTATTTTTTCAATTTTTTTACTTAAAACTGCCATAACTTTCTTAAAAATTTACAAAACAACTTAATTTTTTTTTTTTTTTTATTGAAACTTTAGATATTTTCCTTTCATTCTATATCATTTTTTTGATAATCTAACACTTAACCTGCTCACAGGAGGGATTTAAAATAGCAACTTTTTTACTAAAACTAGCTTTTTCAACATAACTTTTGAAAATGTTGCGAAAATACTGTATCCTTTAAACATATTTCAAATTAAAGCTTATGTTATGTACTATAAAATGAAAAAAAGAAATTTGTCGCAACACTTTATCTTCTACGTGCATTCGGCTACCGTAGTTAAAATAAATAGTTTAAAAAAACTAAAAAACAGCGTCGGGCGCTCAATATACGAAAAATATGGCACGAAACACCCACGCTTTTATCACAGTAATTCTAGTACTTTTCGTTCAATATTGTTTTAAGCTTATTTTAAAAATTATTTTGAACTTTTTAGTTCAATGTGCTTTAAAAGCGTGTTTTTTAGTTTTTTTAAACTATATTTATTTTTTACTTTTTAGTTTTATGTTATGATAATAGTTACTATCAATATCATGGTTGTAACGGGTAACGGGAATACAGGGTTCGATTCCGGGGAGAGAGTCTGAGAAACGGCTAGTGACGAAAAATGATACGGGAATCATCCCCCGTAATCGGAATGAATACACCACATATCTCTTAATGAGAATAAAGCGTATTAATATATAAGTTTTAATAGTAATTAGAATATATATATATATATAAAGGGACTTAAGTAAGTAAACGTATCATGCATGAGGTACAGCCATATTTTGTGGGCGGGGGGAACATTATACACGAGGCATATACGGCGGCAGAGGCGTCGGCTGTAGGAATATTCAAATGAATATTAACATATACGTATATACGTATAAATATTAATATATATATATATATATATATATATATATATATATATATTAATATTAGCGGTGGCGGTAGGAATATAATGATCTTCGCATAATATTGCGGCACTTTTGCTGTCGTTGACGACGCGATGTTTGGCGTGATCCTCGGGCGTCAAAAAGTTAGCAGTGTAGATGACAACAGTGCGCGAGTGCGGATCGGTTTGTTGACGTCACTTTGACAACGAGAAGAAGACTACGGTATCATTAACGGCGGGACGTCGTCGGCTGTGCGGCACTTGCTGGACTTTGCACCGTGGCGTAAAACGACGCGGGGCTGTGTCAATTACAATAAAAATTTGTTATATATATATATATAATTGATGATAAGCGCGCGTCTACGGGTTGGAAAATATTGTTGTCTACGAGTGGTGAGCGGGGTGGGGCGAATGCGTTACAACAGTATAGTCTCAAAGTCATACACGACGGGATACGCAACATAATAACACTCGCCGCGTGGAGTTACAAACTTACAAACAACAACAAACGACAAACATACAAGTGAAACTAATATAAGCGTGTTAAAAATGCTATTTTTGTGTTAACATTTTCAACTTTAAATTGCAATAACTTTTTGAATAATGTATGTATCAACAAAAAAATTTTTTTCCTAAATACATTATATATATCTCTTTCATTTAACATATTTTTTTAATAAATTGGACAATTTTCCTTTATACAGGGGGCTTTCAAAGCATAAAAAATACTTATAAAAAGTAGAACTTTTAAACATATGTCAAATTAAAGCTTACAATAAATACTATAAGTTCAAAAAAAAAAAAACGGTAGCATAGTGTGGACGAGGCATAGAGGGGACAAGTATAGATGATATCTGACAGTGATTAAAATCACTATCATAAGAAACGCTTCGATGCAAATCTGTAGATAGTGTTTCATTTAGAGAAATTGGTGGATTATTCCAAAAGCAACATCAACTCTTATTTCTTTAATTATATCCTGATTAGTAGTTCTTTGATTTTAAAATATAATATATGAATAAATACTAATTATAGTTTTTAAATTTAGTATGAAATTGTGAGGCCAGCTATGATGTATGGTTCATAGTGTTGGGCGGTTGATAAGAAAGTAGAGCAGAGAATAAGTGTAGCAGAGATGAGAATGCTTAGTTGGATGAGTGGAGTGACTAGAGAAGATAGGATAAGGAACGAGCATATAAGAGGAAGTATAGGTGTTGCGTCAATCGTGGATAAGATGACAGAAAATAGACTTAGATTGTTTAGTCATGGTATGAGGAAAGAAGAATCGAAAGCTGTAAGAACAGTTATAGAAATGAATGTTGAAGGAAGAAGAGATAGAGGAAGACCAAAAAAGAGATGGAGGGATGCTATTGAATGCGATTTGAGGACAGCTGATGTGAGCGTAGAAGATGTGGGAGATCGTGTCAAGTGGAAGCTTAGGATAAGGGTGGCCGACCCCAAGTAGTTGGGATTAAGGCAAAGAAAAAGAAAAATATTACCAGAAATTCCGGTGGCAATTGACATAATATGATTGTTGTTTCGGAATGTACAATTTAGCGTTTAGTTGGGTTTAAATAATATAGCGTCAAATCAATTACCTACTCTATCGCTTGTATATTAATATACACTACACTTTAATGATACAATAAATAAATAAACTCACACATACACACATATGCATTTATAACATTGTGTCTAATGTAAGTATAACATGATAAAAAGTAACCGTAAAATGAAAAAAATGGAATATAAATTTTAGTACTCATATTAAATGTAATGTAACTCGAAAAATATTTGTTTAAATGAAAAAATATAAGATAATTTTTTTGTTTATAATTGTCTTTTAAACAACTTTTGTACGAAACTTTTTTTGTAAGTTAAATATTTTTTGAGAAAATTAAAAAAGCTCATATTTTTTAACTTTTGCGAGGCTGTAAAAAAAAAGCTAAATTTCAATCAATGAGGACTATTAGTATGTCATTATACATATTTTAATTCAACTATTAATAAAACAAAATTTGGCTGGGAATTTTTTAAGAAATTTTTCCTTTGATGACTGGCCCAGATGTCAATTTTAAACTTGTAATTGAGCTAAAAGTTATGGTAATATATTCAATTTTTTTTACTATAAACTTTCATAAATCTTTATCAAAAATTTTTCATCAACTTTAAAGAACCAAAAAAATAGGTTATAAATGAAAATTTGGACTGATTATTTTTAACATATTAAAAATCAAATCAGTAATAATTTAAAAACAATTTTTTTTTTTTTAATTATTATTTTATATGTAACTAGTAATAATATAAAAAATTAGAACTGATAGATAAAGTCTAATTGCAGATTTGAAAACAACGCGAAAATTTGATTTAGAAA